CTACACTACCATTGAATTTTTCGGATATTTTTTTGAAGGATGTGTTTAACTCTGAAGAACAAAATCAAACACAAGTGCAGAGAAAGAAGATGGATGTAACTCAGTTTTTTAAAAGTACAAACCAAGTGCAAGTTGAGTCAAATGAAAGACTAGATTACTGCTAGCACTCAATCTTGTATGGTGAAGTATTTGGCTATTGAAGTATATTTAAATTTTGTATTTCACACAGAACATCTAATGCATGACAATTGGTTATAATTATTTTCTTCATATTAAATTTAATATTTTATTGCAGATTTTTGTTTCTAACTGCTTCAGTTTTTAAAAAGAATTTGGAGAATTTCTTACATCCTAATTAGAGAATGGAAGGCTTCTTAGAGAAACATTTTTCTCCAATCCTTTTATGGTGTAAATGATACCCCTGTTACCATTGGATAAAAGTAAATTTAGGAAACCAAATAACTAAGGTAAAGTGAAGAAGTCACTTCTTTAATTCCCTTCTTAATTTTTTTTATCTATGCTTCCAGATTTCTTCCATGTTTATGGTGCCACTCCTTTAGACTATTTTTATCAACTTTTACTATTTATGATTTTATTGAGTTTTTCTTTGAGGGTCTTTTTAGAGTATTTCTTCAATTAATTAAACTTTTTTATTATAAGGTTATAATTTTAATTTTAGTTTGAGTTTTTGGTTTGAAAGCTTGTTGTTCATGGCTTCTAATTGATATTATGTAGCTACATAATGTATGTTCTGGACTGATGATTAATTATGCTCTGTTGATGTATTTTATGCTTATGGAGTGAGGATCAATTATACTCGGTTGATGCATTTTATGTTCTGTATGCAATGGATTTAAGGATTAATTTTATGTCATATTTTTATTAGTACTTTCTCAATTAAGCATTGTTGCATATTGTTGGTGTTCTCGGTTATACTTGTAATGAATATTGAAATTTGATAGGGAGAAGAATTGTATTATAATAAAAGGAGAATAATTGTATTATTAATAAAAGGAGAAGATTGTCATTTTTTTTTACACATTATTAAGGGTATTTAACTCCCGAAAACAAAACTCTAAAGTTTAAATAAAATATCAATTTCTTAATAAATTTGTTGATTTAGTATCTTAGTTGTCATGTCATCTTGGCAAAAGTTAATATTGTTTTAGAAAAATTAACTGAAGAGACCAACAATAGTATCAGAATAATTTTAAGTGACGAAAGTGGAACATTTTTTAATTAAGAGACAAAAGCGAAACTTTAAATTAAATTAAGGAACTTAGGCACTAATTATGCCAAGCTATATTAAACACGCTTTGTGTTATAAAAAGTGTTTCATTTGCACTTTCTCAAAATTATTGTCAATTTACAATTATAATCTATCATTTATTATTATTATTCACTACTATACGCATATTTATTAATTTTCACTTTATTCAACTACTCTATTACTCTCTTCGTCTCATAAAAAATATCATATATTTGAGCAATGTGCGATTCTTAAGAAAATTATTAGATGTGTTGATTTTAATGATAAAACTAATATCATTTACTAGAATATCTCTATTAATTATAGTTAATAAGTAATTAAATAAAGTGGAAGTTAATAAATAGAGGTATAATAGTGGAAAATAATAATAAATGTTGCATTGATATTGTAAAAAGACAATTATTTTGAAATTAAAAAAATATGGAAATGAGACAATTTTTATGAGACGGAGAGAGTAATTACAATTAAAAGTGTATTCTAGTAAATGATATTAACTTTTTCACTAATAACAACATATCTAACCATTTTTTGAGAACCATGCATTGCTCAAATAGTATATTTTTTATGAGACGCTGAGAGTAGTTAAAAATGATTTTCTTGAATCATACCGTGGGAACACACTTATTCTTAGCTCTATGTGGATCAACCTTTAAATCTTTACAATTTTTCTTTACACTCTTATATAATAGAACACACATTTGAAAATTTAAAAATACCTTTAAATTTATTTGAAGATATATTTTCAAATACACCAAATTTAATTTTTTTGAAGAATAAATATTTTCTTTTTGTGTCCTTTAGTGAGATACGATAAATGTTACTTACCCTCTTTAATAGTATGTCTAAATTGATTGTTACCAAAGATTTTCTAGATAATGTGTTGAGAGGGATTCCAAGGAGACATTTGTCGCCAAGTTTTGGAGATTTTTTTCTTGAATAGAGTTCTTTTTACGTGGTTTGTGTCTAATGGCATTGATGCTTGTTTTGCAGTTTCAGCTGGTCAAATAGTTAGCAACCAATACTTGATTTTCTTTATGTTCTATTGGCATTTTGTTTTTCTCTTGTTTCTTATTGCTGTGATGTGTGATAGTTTTAGTTGGGATTGCAACTCTTACAAACTCCATTATGAAATGTCTATTTGCATCTATGTTTAAGGTTGTGTAGTATATACAAATATACTCTGTTCCACAAATAGTTGGTTCTATTATTTATTTTTGATGTATTTTTCGAGAAACATTTCTGAATTATTTTTAAAAAAATTCAGATATATTTCCGAACTAACTTTTGATAAAAATGGAATTTGGTGCGTTCGGAAATGTATATCCGAGAATAGAGGGTATTTTTGACATTTCGCCTCAGGTCTAGGAGAAGGTATAAGGGTGCAATAAGAAATTTCCTAAATCTTTCACCAACATATCCAGAGTCTTGGCTAGCGATGGACAATGGGTCGGATAAGGTGGTTTCGGGACTAAATTGGGCAATGGGTCGGGTAAGATAGTTTCGGGACTAAATTATCAATCTAAATCACTTAACGAGTGGTTTTTCTAAGACTCGATTCTGCTCATTTCTCTCTATGGTTTGATTGGGCTATGGATTAACTGATTTACGAGTCAAACAAATCGTTTCATGCGGCTACCATCTCAAATATCCCCTCAAAGACAAAATATATACAGAGTTTATAAAGATTGAGAAATTAATAAATAATTAGACCGAGAATAGTTTATAGGGCTTAAGAGGGAATGATCTGCAATGAGCGCCCGAAGAAGCTTGGTCACGCAATGGATTCTGAGTATAGTACGTCACTCAAAGCATACAAAGCAATGTGGCCGCTCGAAGAACCATTTAGGTTTAAGAGCAAAACCAACAACTTGTCTTATGTGATACATGTAATTTCAGAGGTGTCTTAGGAGAAACGACTAAGAAATCTAGGTATAGGGGAAAATCGTTTCTCTCACGATTGAGGGGTGCCTTTCTCTCGTATATTCCAAGTTCCCTAGAAGGGATGAGAGACCCGTCTTCTGGATTTTGAGCCAAGGCCTAGTTTATTTTCTATAAATGCTTTGATTTCATAATGGATAGAGAGATCACAAACTTTCACATAACACCCACAGAGAGAAAAAATTTCATGACCCATGTGTGAGTAAATTTTTCTTAATTTCCATTGACCCCAAACACACAAAAATTCGTCAAGGACGAGGTGTAAATCCCTATTGCACTCAAACAGACACATGAATAATTCACCATCCTTAGAAATCACACGCAGGGCCTCTTGCATCCTATACAAACAGATTCTCAGCTTCTATTATATATTTAGCAAGTGTAATTGACATTCACTATAGAGCGCGGTAAAATTAATATGGGCCACATCCATCTTTAGCTCACAAGCCGCCTAAATCATCTCCTAAATGGTGACAAGGTAAGGCATTATAACACCCACCATAGGCCATTTACGTTGATACTATAGTAGAGAGATTTATCAGGGAAGAATTCAGCTTCTCTCATCGGAGATACATTCGATTGGTCTTGTCGTTGGATGGTCAAATACCATGTTCGAGAAAGAAGTCATAACATGAAATCCTTTTCTTTGGAAATGATGCCTCGGGTATAAATCCTCATCACAACGATCCCATAGTTGTCACTGTGCAATGTGAAAATTCGGATATAAAGAGGGTACTAATTGACCCGGGAAGCTATGTAAATGTCATATTCTATGACGCGTTTGAAAGGCTTCGGTTGGATTCAGATGACATCCATACATCCCAAGGTTCGCTGATTGGACTTTCAGGCGAACTCGTACAAGTAAAGAGCCGCATAATCCACAAGATCATATTCGAGATAAATAAGAATGCAAAGATGATCAAGGTCAAATATGGCATGGCAAACGCTCCCTATTCATACAATAACATCATAGGGCGGCGACCTACCCTCAATCTTTTAGGTGTCACCTTGTCGACCTTACACCTAAGTATGAAGTATCCACTCTCTTACAGACGGGTCAAAGTAATCCAAAATGATCAAGTAATCTCTCAAGAATGCTATCAATGTAACCTCAGGATAAGGATGTTGTAAACTTGGACCCTAGGATAGACCAAGAGAGAGAAATATTGGCATCCACAAAGGATTTAAAGGAGCTGTTTGAAATATTGGCATCCACAAAGGATTTAAAGGAGCTGTTTGTCGGACCTGCCTTCATGACACCGACGTCTTTTGACGATATTCTTAATACTTTTCAACTTTATTATATTTGACAAATTAGAAACATGATTTTTTTTTTATCAATCACAAGTTGTGCCGTCTATTTAAATTTTCAAATGTGTCATTTTTGTGTTTAAAAAACGTTCTTTTTTTCTCCCAACATGGTTAAAAAATAATTTTTTATTTCTTCTTAATTTTCTAACCAAATTTAAAAGTCTAAAATGAAGACTGAGTCCTAAAATCCTTCAAGACACGGTTACAAAGGTAGAATGAGACAACAAAGCAAGAATATTGGTTTGCATGCATCCCCACCTTATGTTACAATGGCAATTCTTTCTCAACAACAGAATTTATAATAATAACAAAGTGAACATGATTGAAGTTGTCAACTTTTATCTTAACAACAACAAACTTCTATTCAGCAACCACAATCTTAAGTGTGATTCTGCTAGATGGGATTCACTTCCACATCATAGATCAAATGACACTAACATTTTTTCATGTATTTATTGATTAAGTGGAATGTTGAGGCTGATTAAAAGTCGACAATCTTTTTCTCCTTGAAGCTTTCCAAAGTCTCCTTGAGGCTTACTTCCAAAGGAGTAAACTCGATTCCCAAGCTTTTAGCCTTTTCATTGGAAATCTGATACGTTGGCAAATATGGTTCTTCATTCTCACACCTGATAAAATTGAAGAGAGTGCATAGTTTCATAAGTTGTATGGGGTACAATCCAATTTATTGTGATTAGGGGATGGGAAAAGTATGCATAGAGGCAGAAAGACAGGTATGGGAAACAGTAGGTGCAGAAGCAGATGGTTACACTTACATAAGAAATGAACTTCATTGAATATAACAATATCCTTAGAGATGGAAAAAATATCATGAGGGCGCGCATTTGTAGCCATTGTGAGAGGTTGAGTAACTCAAAGAGAAACACCATTGACAGCAAAAATCTAATTTGTGTTTGTTGTATGGTCTAAGGAAAGAGAAGCATGAACAAGCAAAGACTCTAAGGAAGAGTTACGAAGCTTGTTAATGAGCTAAACATTTTTTCAATAACACTTAATGAGATAAATCTGTTTAAAAGGCATGATCCCAGGACATAGTGGTTGTGATATTTTGACAGTGATCAATTTAAACTGATTTTTTTTAGAAATTTCGTTAAAGGTTTAAACTCTGCTACCTACCTAGTTTGTTTGAATGATTTTGACAGGTATATTAAATTGCAGTTCTGAGAATAAGCTCTGAAAATTTTAGTGTTGAAGGATATCGTTATACTTTCGTAGTTTCAATTCAGGCATACATTGAACAATTCATATTTTATACGCATTCTTGGAAGGAATGAACTTACTTGTCTGAAATTTGAAATGTGGGGTACAGATTATGTAAAATCTTAGCAAGTTCTGAGCAGTGTATCGCTCTCTCAGCCAAACAATATCTTCCACTAGCTGAAGCAATCTCATATGCAAGAATATGTGCGTTCGCAACATCTTTCACATTGACCAATCCAAGAATATTATTTGGGAAAGGTATACCTGTATTAAAAAACTCAAGGAATTCTTTTATTATGAAACAGAACAATTCTTTTCTGGAATAAATACGACATTACATAATATGTCACACATTGCAAAATTTCAATATTATGTCATGAAAGAATTACCATTTATTAGGTTTAAAATTGGTTTAACACTTTGGTTAACCTCTGGTTGTAAGAGAGGTCCTAAAACAGTTGCTGGATTAATAACAACCATGTCAATCTTGTTTTCGTTTACAAATTTCCATGCAGCAGCCTCAGCCAAAGTCTTTGAAAGTGCGTACCATAACTGAAAACACAAATGAAAATTGGCAAAAAAGTTTGTGTTAATGTATAAAATAATACCTTGTGATATTAATTGTATCTTAGAGTAATATAGAATAACATAGATTGTTCCTGTGGATTGAGTTCCATATTCCCTTATATGTTAGCATTTATCATTTGTAATGTCATCCAAGGCTTTATCTCATAACAACGAAAAACACATCATACAATTCTTACTTCAGATAAACCACATCAAAATCGCTTATCCCAGCTTCACAGGCTTCAGGTTTTCATTCTGAAAAGGAAAAACAATGCTAACCTGTGATTCCCTACAGAAATCTGGATCTGAAAACCATGTCTCATCAACTATGACTTCTGGATTCTTTGGCCTCGTGTTAAATACAACTGCAGCAGTAGAAGAAGTTAAGACTACTCGTTTCACAGATGGTGATTCCACACATGATTTAAGAACATTAATAGTTCCCTTTAGTGCTGGATCAATCAACTCAGCCTGAAATAAAGAAATCAAAGTTAACAGCGCGTGGCAACTAATCTGTTTCGGAAAGACAACATAAAAAAGTAGTTTTTAATCTAGACTGATAAGTGTTTGTAAAAACAAAACCGTTTTTAAGAAAGTGCAGGTAAAGCTTATCCTGAATCACTTGACTTGTAAACTATGAAAACCAGCTAAACAATATTTCATTTACATTTCAAGAAAAAAAAACTTCTTTCATCGTAAAGAAATAATAAACATGTACTAATGTAAAGCGACAAATAGGTTAGCAGATGAAGTTCTTTATGTTAGAAGTCTTGATAATGAATATAACACTAAAAATATAATGTTTTTTGACACAAGGAAAAACCCAACACACATGAAAAGAGATTAGGCTCGAAAAGAATTTTAAAAATGTGACAACTCTCACCTTACAAGTTGGTTTTGTATTGATGAATTAGGTCTAAATAAAACCTAGTATGCTATCAGGGCCTAAGGATGAATTAGGTTCAACATAAAACCTAATAACAATCACACCGCATTCATCTATTTATAAACAATAGAATAGAATGAACCTGAGGGTCGTCAACGGCATGACGAACAGGTGAAGCAGTATGAAAGACACCATCACAGCCGTGAATAATAGAGTCAAATGAACCTTGTTCCAAAAGATCAGCCTTAAAGAGTTGCAACCTCTCCTTTGCACCATCAAGTTTAATCAAGTGGTCAACCTTTTTGGGATTACCTGCTTGCACACCAACAAAACCACTCATTCATAAGGCTTAACAAATTAATAGCTGAAACATAAAGGACGAGAATGTTAATGAATTTATAATATAAAAAGAAAGAAGCACTGACTCGGATCACGGACAGTGGCTCTGACGGTGTAACCACGTTGAAGAAGGAACTTGACAATCCATGAAGCAATATAACCAGAAGCACCTGTCACACAAACCACCTTTCCTTCTCCACTCATCTTCCTCTTTCTCTTTTTCTTTCACGAAGTTTTGGACTGCCTGGACTATTACATTAAAAGATTATAGATTAATATAATATGGTCCGTATTCATTAACTTGAGCTTCTACAACTGATTGTACCCGTTTAAACAAAACAAAACAACATACAGAAACATCGGAATTCTTTTGTCCACAGCGGCGTCTTAAGTTTTTTAAGGTCTTAGTCATAGTAGAACCTTGACAAAACAACTAGGGTCCTATTTAGCCATGATTTAAGTCTCACAAATTTATTATTTAGCCTTATTTATTCACATCTTAACTGTGACAAATTTGAGACACAATGATGTAATTCACCTTAAACGCCCTCAAAGACACTTGTGCTTTCATCTAGTACAAAATCTAATTAAGCGAAAAATCTCTGTACCTAATGAACCGCCGTGACTCGTGAGAGAAAACGTGGATGACAGAAACTTTGGTGTGTGTCTCTCTCTGAGAGTGAATCGCAGATAAAAAAAAAAAAGAAAGATGACGCGGGAGGAGAGAGAAGATTGGAGGAAAGGTTGTTGACGGAGACGTTGTTTGTCTCGTCGTCGTTGAGTATGAGTCACAGTCTCGCTGAGCAAGGAGAAGAAAATGCCGGCTTCGCCACCACCACAGAAACTAATATAATATGCTGCACTCACCGTTTAGACACTCTTAGCTGTCAAGCTTTATTAGTTGTCACATCTTCATCTAATTAATACAAGAAAATATATTTAATTTTTATTTTATTATTTTTTAAATATTTAACTTAAATTAGACTCATGGACTAATACTCTCAAAAAACTCGTACTTCACCTGCTCCTCTCGGTCAGCAACCAAATCACGTGCAGTTACAGACTAAATTCAAATTAATTAGAGTTTAGCATTTGTTACTTAATATGCAATCGAGTCTGATGTAAAAAAAAAATGGTATATAAGGAGTTGAAGAAGAAGGATCGTAAGATTCCATATTGCATTTAATTGATGTTAATTCGATGAATTTCGATAAGATTTTTTATGTTGAATCAACGAAGGATGTATGAAATATTTTTGTCAAGTATATGAAGCAGGAGATACAGTCAAAGTCGTTAAATTACAGACTTTGCAATGACAGTATGAATTAATGCAAATGGGAGAAGATGAAAAGATTGTAGGCTAGGTGTCGAAGGTGTAAAATCGTGTCTATCTCATGAAGGATTGTGATAAAAGTCTAACTAATAGAAGATAATCACTAGTGCAGAAATGATTTTTTACATCGGTTCTGGGTCTGATGTAAAGTCAGACGATATAGTAAATCAGAGACTTTTTACATCGGTTCTGGGTCCGATGTGAAAAGACAGTTAACACACCGGTTATAAGCTAAGCCTGATTTAAAAAATAATTATAACATTATTTTAAAAAAATTGACGCAATATTTTACATCGGGCTAACGTGGGACCGATGTAAAATATATCATTTTTACATCAATTGGGATTAATGTCCGATGTAAAAGATTCAGCGTTGATAGTTTTTACATCGGTTGCTATTAATGACCGATGTAAAATGTAAGCAATTTTTTTTTAATAAATTATTTATTTTCTGGATGATTCACTATAAAATTAAAATTGATACCCATTTTTTCATTTTTTTTCCAATATCATACCGACTAAATTTAGGTCGCTATATATATCATAGTTTTCCAACATCACATAGACCACATCTAGGTCGATATTTTCATATTTTTCACAACAAACTTACAAAATGAACAATTGTATTACAAACTTGAATTGTATCACAACAAACAAACTTACAACAAACTTACAAATATATATTCTTCACAAAACATACAAAAATATTCAACTATTTATAAATCTTTTTCCAAACTTGAATTACCAATATAAAATCCACAAGTAGATGAGTTATAGTTTCGGTAGACAACACCAAAATCACATTGTCTGACAATAAATAATAACAATTAACATCAGCAAAAAATATCAAGAAACTCAATACATGTGCAAAAACTACATGTAATGTGCAAAAACTCAATAATAACAATTATGTGCAAAAACCACAACTTAGACAATTCTATAAAACTCACCAGATAAAGCTTAATTTTTATATAACTCAAAGAAACATTTTGTCCAACGGAGTCGTAAATCATACAAATCATCTTGTGTTAATTCTGTTGGATCATCAAATATCTATAATACATAAATATAACAATATAAAGTTATTCTTTAAAAATTCATATTAAGTTGCAAAACAAAAAATAAATAACAACGTAAAGTTATTTTTATTACCTATATCCAATTCTGGCAGAGACAATATCCAACATATTTTTCATCACATAGTACCCACAATCATTAGAGTTATGTTGTTGCATTTTCTACAATTGAATGACATAATTAGTGAATATTTATCATAAATTTAACTATAGAATTACAATTTACATCACACTTACATTGGGATGAAGCCATGTAGCCTTTTTTCTATTTCCATTTGCCATTTGATGAATTCCAAAAGAACTAATACATAAAGATAAACATCACATAACTAAATTTACTCGCCAATGAAAAATCACATAACTATTAATTGCCAATGGAAGTCACATGAAAGATAAACTTACTTTGTAATAATTTTCTTCGTGTTCTGGTCAATTTCCCGATGAAGTGAACAAAATACGACAACTAAATTGTCTCTTAGACACATGACTATTAATTGCCAATGTCTCTTGTACGTGTGTGTGGAAACAGAAAAGTCACATGAAATATATATGTTATCAAAATTAAATAATATAAAACACAATTTCATAAAAATTCTTACCCATGAATTAATGGTAGTAAGTGGCACACTCTGTTTTCATCACGTAACTTTTCTAGTACGTAATTTTTAACATCCTCTTGAGATTTCGCTCCATTATCATTATAAATACACCTAGCAGGGTCCATAAATCCATATAATTCTGAAATGGAATTCTCAAGACATACACGATGAATATACCTGAATAATTTAAAATAAACATTAGAGTCAAAGTGATGAGAGATATAACATATTAATAGAGATTGACTTTAATAAAATAATAAAATGTACTTACGTGCACCAAATTTGCAAAATAGACACGTAAAGCCAATGACCTAAACCCACCAATAACTCTCTGATACACTTAGCTGAAATATAAAAATTAAAGACACTCGCATAATGACTTAATTGTATTTCCAAATGGTTGTCATCCATTTTCAAAACCATGAGTAATAATCTCTGAACATCATCAACTTCCACGTCTTTTGTGCTTCCTTTTACAGCTGAACAACTTCCTTTTCCGCTTTCATCGACAATTTCCATTTTTTCAATGCATTTAATATTATTTGTGCTTTGTGATAAACCCATAGACTTAAGTGTCTCCATTAATGATTATCAAAATATCTTACGCTCTTCAACCAACTTTTCTTCAAGTTCAACTCTAAGTTTTGTTTCCAATATTGCAAGTTGTTCATTTACGTCAATATGTTGACGTGACCTTCTAAAGTAAGTGTTTCGTTTATGGCATTTTCCAACACCACGAACACGACCTCCATGCTCAGATGTTCCAATGGCTAATGTTAAGATATCGTTACGTCCAACCGGAATAATTGCACCTTTTTCAGCTTCTTGAACTAGAGAATCCTACAAAATGCAAAAACCACAATTAATCAATCACAAATATAATGATACTTGAATTATTTTTCATTGTTTACTTACAATTTTTTCAACAACCTCTTGTGTAGATTTTGATGTGTATTATCCTCTTTATTTTGTCGTGCTCTCTTTCATAACTCATGGCATGATGGTGGAGATGGACTACCATTATCATCTAATGTGGAATTATCTCTTGATGATGACTTTTCTTTCATAATTTTCTCCTCAAGCAAGCAATACCCTCCACGAGACAATAAGTGTGGATATACATTCTTAGCCACATTATCCTTACCCTTTTAACTTTTTTCCTATTATAAACTCAAAAAGTTATTAATCATTAAATATAATAAAAATGTTATGCACACAAAAACATATAACTCCTACTAACCTTAAATTCAGGGGTATCTCGAATCTTGAGAAACTCTTTCCACGTGTCTTCTGTAATAAAGTTATACTTGACATATGGAGGAGGATCATTTTCTATGTGATAATTAATATATTTGTATGTGAGTTGTGTCTTAAAACCTCTCTATCGCTCTCCCGCATATTTAATCCATTCTTTCTTCAACCTATCCTTCTTTGGATCATTACATTCTGTAATAGTGAAATGAGCCTACAAATATAGTATATGTCATATGGTGTTAATTAGTATATGATTATAAAATATAATAAAGTGTTGTATTTAAAATACCTGAATATCAGTCCAAATAGCATCTTTTACGCCTTCATCTACTTTTTTCCAATCATTTTTCACAATACTACAGTACTGCCGAGCAAAACATGCTATATAACTCTTAAAATGTGTAGCATTTTTACCAACACCAATACATTCATAGGTTCTTGGATTAAACTCGCCATTTATCTTTTCACCTGTTTGATGAACTTTGTCAATTTGTGTCATGAAAGTGGGACCTCTAACTCTTCTTTTATTGGGGTTACTAGATGAAGAAGGGTTGTCGTTTGAATCACCCATGTATCTGTTTACATAAAATAAAAATAATTAGAAATAAAATTAAGCACAAAATAAAAACAATTAGAAAATAAAGTAACGTGGAATTAACTTATAAAAAATTTTTTACTATTGCTCCCATATCCCTTCTTCAAGGTCTATGCGAATAGCATGCACATCATCCCCTTCATTTTCTTCAATGAATGTAGTCACATTTGTTGAAAAAGGATGAGTTTCGGAAATATCAAAATTCTCATCATGATTTTCATCACTATTATGGACCTTTCCTTGTAAAACCACTGACCACTTTTTATTAGAAGGATATGTGACATAAAACACTTATTTTGCTTGAGATGCCATGATGAAAGGTTCATTCGCATAAGCTAACTTGCTAAG